TGTCGCACCTGTGGTCATTTTTAGTCTTACGCGAAAAAGAGTTGACTTCATTGAAACGGTTTAGCACACTCATAGGTGTGCAGTTGTGATGTCCATAATCTTGAACATTAATGGAGAGGGTTTATGAAATCACACACTGTCAACATGTTCTGTGCTAATCGCATACAGGCCAAAAGAACCACGCAAAGGTGGTTACACTTAGAGCTCTATAGTCTATGAGAAAACTATAACACTATCTGGCATATTGTGCAATACTCTGATATTGCGCCAATTTTTAACAGGGAACCGATGCAATCAGGTTGTTCTGCTTAATGCACCTGAGCGACTTACATATGGACTTCTCCATGGTTTGCGCATTCATCTGGCGTGGATAATCCGTTTCATACATGAGGACAATGGACTCACATTAATCTGGCCTTATTCATCTGATTTCCCCATATCTTCTCTGGTACTACGTCATGAGACGAGAGTCAACACGTTCACTAACCGCATATTATACATCACACAAGACTGATTCAACGAATATAGCAGTTTTATGTAGGTTGAGTGTATCTGGGCCGACATTACAGTTCGGTGTGGTGATAAATACGCACACAACTTAAATGTTCCAACGTACACGGCAAACTGCTCGGTGGAAGGAACAAGTTGCTGGTGCTATTCCTGTCAACGAAATAAGCACAGCTGATTGTGATTGCGTGCTTTCACTACCGCCTTCATGAAATGTGCACGTATTTTACGCGCAGGAGCGTCAAGGCTGTCATACACACATACGTGATACATGCATATGAGGCTTTATAATTAGTGGCAACCATAACATCAGCAGAACTAATTGCATGCAGCGCACCACACTGCGGTTGATTTTACATTGTTAGCCGAATAACTGGAACTTGGCACAATCTCTCACCTCTGTATTTTGGCTTCTATATTTCTCATAACCTAGTTTGCAATGACTAGTATATACGGTGCCTTTTCTCTACTGTGTTCCGCAAACACGTAATAGATTCGGACAAATACACTCACTGCCTCAGTCGTTTGGTTTATATCTTTTCCGCACCATTGTTGGCAATACGCAGTATATGTGGTGATTTCTTGCCTGTGCGTTCCACAACGATGGGGTCAATTGCGAACAATTACGTTTGCTGCCTTCGGTTCCCGACTATTTCCATCATTTTGATTTTTCCCGACCACTGCTTACATGTTTTGCAACTGCATTTCCTTCCGCCGCACCTACTGTTCCTCCATGTAACCACCTATATTGCCACACTATTGGAACTGCTATTCTCATTCGAAGGTTCGGTTCACTGCTGTTATAACTGAACAACCAAGGTCTATTTAGTCGTGTTTACGTTGATATTCACTACTATCGGATGTCATTGTTTCACTTAGTACTTGTGTCTTTTGGCGCCCACAGCGGTTTCGCTGGTGAAGATCCCAGTCCGGCTTAATCAGTTAGTACGGCTCGGTATTCCTTATCATTCCGTGGTTGTCATACTATCCGCCTCCGCTCATAGTCAGCTGGGGGAAGCACTGTTCACGAGCTGTACTGCTAACCATTACTACTACGGTGCCATGAGGACAATACCCGCACATTTATCTCGCCTTGGTATTGTGCTTCTTTCCAAGCACTGTCGAGTAGTAAGGTTGTGCGACAGACATTTCGTTAACAAGCTCGAGCATCAACTGTCCATCTAGTTAATCGCTGCCTACTTACCTGCACTGACAAACAATCGCCTAGTTCAGTGATTACCAACATCGGTCGCCCGTATTTGACTGGCACAGTTGCCATGTGTACTAACGAACGCGACACCCTTCACCCATGGAGAAGTCAGCACAATGATGCTGAAAAGTACGCGCGGATATCAGAAGACAATTGGAGTCGGACACAGCGGACTGTATTCGATGGGCTGCAAACGGAGCGGACGGATGAAGCAAGACAGAGGTACGTGTTACCGCGGTAACTTACAATGCGGTCCAGTGTCGAGCCGGTTGTAAGGAAGATTAAAACAAGAAAGAATAATGAACAATTGGTCAACAATGAAATAGTACATGAAAGATAGTTGTTATCTTTGTGATCGCTACAGAGCTGCCCCTAGAAGGCTGAACATAGAAAAACTTGGATATCGGAAATGTCTGTTGAATCGAGGTTCGTAGGGCAAAATCGTGCCGAGTACGAATGAGCGAGTGTTCGTGTCAAATGGGGGTTCGCCGGAAATCGGAGTCCGCTGTGCCGTTTGTGTTTCATCATTGATTGATTGCAGGGCGGGGTGCATTTCGGCGAGCCGTTGCAGAGGGCTTGTCGGACTACAAAGTTTGGCTAGCCCAGCACAAGGCTGACAGGACCTCAAACTCCGCTGCTGCCAAACGGTGCGCTCGTGAGTTGTCTCTCCCCCCGCCACATCCCACCCCGCACCAAAGCGATCCTCGTCCCACGGAGAAAACACCGTCTTCCTACTAAGCAACGACCGTGGTGCCGCGAAGAAGCGACACTCGTTCCGCGGAGAAACGACCACCGTTGGCTTCAGGGTCACGAAAATATCGCTCGTGTGGTCCAGTGGATCGAAGGGGAGGGTTGGGGCATGTAGAGATAAGAAAATAGAGGAACACGTTTAGAAAACTCCAGAAATGATGAACGATTGGTACGCGTGTTTAGATTGTTTGGCTTTTGAATATTTTTAGAGAAAGGTTGTTCGGAGGTTTATGATATGTTGTTGGTTTTCAAATGCTTATTCGACCAAAAGCGGGGCAATTATATACAATAGATACAAACCTGAACGCATGTACACTGTGCATAGTCGCAGAACCGATCGGGCTTACGCACCACGCGACCACGGCGATTGGTCATGGGAGGCGACGGGGTGGATTTCGGAGATGTCGGGACGTCTGAAGCTTGTAGACCGGGATCGTGGTCTGGTTGAACTATAATAGGATGCTGAAAGTCGGTGCGGTGAGTGGTGACGTCGCAGAAAGTACTACTAGACGAAGTACGCGAGGTGGTTTCTTCCAATAGACAGGCTTTAGACAGTCCATGGTGACGACTTCGCGTCGACCACCGCGGATGTGACTCGCTACTGAATCAAGTCACTGCCCAGAACTACATACTAGTAAGTCGACAAGAGCCATATCTCAATATCCTCTTGACACGTACAGGAATAAGAAACCTTCTGTCTACATATACCGTTTTCCCAACACTTACCGTGCTTGACTTTTTGCGCTATGCGCACTTGAACCCAAAGTATCGTTATCCATTGAGGACTTACCTACTCATGATTACTTCCTCACTCTCCGCAGCCAGTGCATCATTCCGCCACTGCCGATTATATACATAGCAACGTGTTTGTTGCGAAACATAACTGCGTGTACATTTTGATCATGCCTGATTTGCTGTGCCTCGATAAATTCGAGAATAAACCACTTATTTATTTATTCATTTATTTGCAATGTGTATTATGGGAGCACATTGCTTAAGACGATAATATGGCGATACTGACAAGTTCATCATAATCGTTCCATTCGTTTTACACTGCGCAACGGGGATTTTGTCTTCATACTTTCTTTTATCCTATTCTTTGAAACCCTGGAAGCATAGACAAATCATGTAGTAATTATTAGCTAGCATTATTCACCCATATGAAAACAACCGGAGGCATGTTGGACACAAGTAACAACTGATTACATCACCGCATCATATTAAAGAGAGTGTGCTTTATGCGGTAAACATAAACAGAAGAAGAAATTACATATGCGGTCAGTGGTACCTGATAATGAAATCATTAGTAAAGTGCCGTACATGTACCAATATTATTAGCGCCCATGTAGATAAGCAGAACAGGAAAACCAGTTGACATGTCGGGTCTGCAAAAGGCCACCAGCTCACTGCACAGCGTCATTCAAATATCAGTTTGTAGTAAAAGCACCAGAGAACAGTTATTATGCGGGCTGCAGAAGACAGTTTCGAGGATACAACGCGTACAATACGGTCATTGAACCCATTTTATTGTTCGCCCCTCGTTTTCTTCCGGATCTTTTAAGCCGCATTCTGCGCATATTTCTTCATCGATCACCAAACCTTGCAAACTTGGATGGTTGGTTGGTTCGCCAAATGTTGCACTCCGGGGTTCATGTCTTGCGTCCTGAACGGCGGTCGTCGACTTCGCACCTGCTTGAACCGCTGGTATAGCGCCTTCTTCATCCGAGCTTGCAATCGCCGCATTCGATTCGGCGCTAAAAACCGCGTTATCCGTTGTCCATGTGACAAACCCCTCCGGCAATGCCGGCAGATGGAAATCTGCAGCGTCCAAGTTCAGAAATGGGGACACCGGCAGCTGGTTGTATTCAACAATTTTTGTGTCCGTGGCCAGGTGCACTTGAGGGGAACGTAAACGGAGGGATATTTTGCGGGCCGGCTTATTGAACAAAGCTAGGTTGCCACGCGGCATACAGAGCGAAGTGCGCTGGTTGCAGTCGTTGATTTAGTGCACGTAAGTCGTTCAACACCATATTCCAAGTGGCGCTTCCTTCTTACCTTCCGATTATTGGCGCCTCAAACGGCGCCATTGAAGGCGCAAGTGCCTCATTCTCGCTCACGTCCACCGTCGGCTGACCGGCAGTTCCTTGACATCCACTCTGTTAAGCTGTACGAACTGCAGCAGGTGTCTGCATGGAAGTTCAAATCCGACGTTAGTTTTGCAGGTGCACCTTGCAGCTGTCGTGCTTTACCGTCTCCAGTCCACTATCGCTGAAATCTGTTGCATGCTCACCGCTTCTGAAAACCACAACCGGATACGTTGAACTCAAGTCAGATGCTATCACGAAACTAACGTACGACATCAATCGGCAGCACAAGCAGTCCAACTCCGGATGACCGACAATACGGAGGTCGCGACGAGATGCATCCGATATCGCTTTCTGTCGGTTCCATATCAGATACGTCGCGCTCATCCGTAACACTCGTATGTCCTCCCACAATCCGATTCGCCTATTAAGTTGTTCTATCTTTAAACATCGATGCATGGACTCCACCATACCCTGTCGTGTATGCTGTATGTTGCAGCACCAGGCATCCTGCTGTTGATCCATTTGCAGGCGTTGGGAAGAATGAAGGAACTGATATAGTGGAAGAAAGGTTGATCATTAATACGAATGAGTTTAGATTCAGCTAAATACTTCCAGTAGATACATGTGTACATTGCGATGAAATAATGTCTGAATGAAGTGGATGAGGGAAAGCATTTGATAACATAGCTAATTATATGAATGTAACAAAACAACTGATGTGCGGATGGAAAGACGTTATGTACAGCGTTCGCAATGGTCAGTGCACCATCGGACATTATGCACTTGCGGCCGGAAGCACCACCTACAATTTCCATAAACGTGAGGAGGAAGGTTCTGACGTCCATCTCCGTCTCTCGCCGGAGAAGAGCAATGGCAGTCGACAGAATTTTGCGACAGCCATCGACTATAATCATTTGGTATAAAATATACCTCTGTTGGTTAGTGGAGAAGGTGCTATCAATAAGTAAAATTCGGGAAACCGGGAGTACACTTCCAGCATCTCTGGTGTGGAGTAGACTAATTGGGTGAGCCGTTTGTTGTCGTCGCGCAAACACCGGGGTCGTCCTCGCTGGTTATACTGTGTTTCCAATTCCAGTATATATCCCAAAACAGTGCATTTTAAGCTACCTAACCAAGCAAACACGTTACCTGGATTGTTGCGCCCAAACATTTGTCTCGCTCGAAGGTTGCCGAGGTCCGGTTTCGTCAGGTATTTTCCGTATTTCAATCGGACGTAGAACCAGATGTTGAAACATAGGATTGGGCATTCAAGCACTGACCTGATTATCTCCAGCCCTTCCGGCTCTTACCAACGGTTTCTACTAGACTACTTTATTCTTCGCCTTCCCAAAAGCTAGTGCTTATGTAACATGTGGAACCTGGTTATTCTGAACGTAGTCTTCAGCCTACTATTGAAATATGCCCCATACTGTGTGTGATCCAATAATCTTTGTCGTCTGCCTTCGTTATGATGGCGAGCAAACCTTTTCCGGCGGCATTGGTACTTTATCAGTGTCTTCACGCCGGACACATCCGCTTTCGACGTTCGAACACTATGACCCGGAGGTTCTCTGCAACCTCTTGATGTGGTACACCAGTTCGTGAGCGTTGCTATACAGGCGGCTGCTCACACCCGCAACAAACAGTCTGACAGGGCTAACCGTGTATTCATCGGGTGTGGCAGGGCCACTGGTGGTCTCAACGAGCGTATGGGTAGCTGCGGTATTTGAAGCCGTAGCGAGGATGTCGTATCCAGAATACATATGTTACATACCATCCTTCATCTGATGAACCCGCTGGAGAAACTTACTAGTTATAACGTCCTACTCATAGTTTATCAGTAGTGTGGATGCAAGATGATCGAAACGTACCACACATCTGCCGTTTTCTTCGACAAGCAACACACCAAAATGGTTGTGGCGATTGTGATGTCCTAATTTCTCTGTTTTAATTTCATTTTTATTTGACAATATTCGAGTGCTAATTTTGCATTAAAGCAATCGTTGGCGAAAACTGCAATTTACCGTTGGATAGTTGGATCCGTTCTCGGAAGAAAATATCGAATTTCAAGCAAACGCTTCACGGAAGAGATGGGTCGTGCGATTTGGTCGTTGGCATCCCAGACAACCTCGTGTCTGGCTACATGTACTATTGCACTTACATTCATATCCTGCACTGTCTCCTTGAACTTGACAGCCAGCGAACTATAAGTTCAAGTTCAAGTTCAGGTGAGACTGAAACGATATGATGAAGCCTGTAAGTGTTCCTTCTTGAGCCGGTCGTTGATTTATGAGTTCATATGGGTGCTCCGCCTTCTTTATTGCTATAAAACGGAAACACCCGAAAAGCGCCCTGGCCCACCAAGTTAATGCCCACGTTGCTTGCATTACTAGTCCCTCCTTTGCCAGTTACTGAAATAAGTAAGAGAGGAAGGAAAATTAAAGTTACAAAATAAAGCGAAGACAATTGAAACAAAAATAATACCAATGGTGAGGGAAAGTACAGAAAAGAGGATCGAAATATGAAGACGGGAATTAGTCCAGAGAAACGAAAGTTTCATGCAGCCACCCAAGAGCATGTATTTGACGCGCAAACTCCTTAAACTTAGCTACCTTGACATCATTCTCTGAAAGTAAATTCCAACGCTCGATGACTCGACGCGATAAGCGTGGCTCCCCTCTAACCCGATCGGATCGCGGTTTGTCCAGCTTTATGAATGCCAACGGTGGGCAGATATTCTAGCAGGATCAAATAGCCAGGACAGATAAGGGCCAAATTTCTCAGTTAAAATACCGTAGGTTAGGATTAGGTCTCCTCTAATGCTTCGATAGAGCATTGAATGTATCCCCAAACTAAGTAGGTGTTCGGGGTAAATTTGTCCTCATAATCCCTCGACCAACCTAGTACCGACACGCAACACCCTTTCTAGTCCATTTTGTCCCGGACCAGGCATGGCGGAAGGCCTAGACGCCATATCCTATATGGGGTCGCACAAACGCTGTGAAGAGCTTCACAAGCATATTAGCGATTAGGGTCCCGAAAGAACGACGGATAAACCACAACAGCCGGAATCCTTTACTAGCCGCATTCATCCAGTTGCCTCCAGAGTGTAATGTGGAACAAAGGACGACACTTAGGTACATCTGATGAGTCACGTAAGGCAGTTCACTCCCATCGAGCATATAACCTGTGGAGGAATCAGACGCTCCGACTAAGTTACAGGAATTTCATCCAGACAAGAGTCCTCAGGGACGCTTGAAGCTTGTTCTCTGCATGGCGTGTTTGGTTCGCGGAAAAAGGCGCTGGAGAACTGCTCACCATGCACGCCTGTCTTGACATATCCGCTATAGGCATGCGTCCCATTTCCTCGAAGAAACGGTGTTATAGGCGATTTTGCACCACAGCGTCGTTTAACGTAAGCAAAGATGTTCTTGGGATTTGTCGAGGCAGTATCAGCTAAGCCCTTATCATACTGAATCTGGGCCAGTCTATGAGTTAGCTTGCACACAGTTCGGACCAACCGGTACCTGTCAAACGTGCTGTTCGACGGAGCTGTTCGTTAGGCTCACAGGCATCCAGACCGCTGCATTAGCAGGCCGTTCCCCGCAGAATCTATCCAAGGAGGTTGCGCTCTCGGTTCCCTTCTTTTCACCAGTGGGATGTGAGGTGCAGAAATGTCAAGGTGAGCCTTAACTTTTCTAAGGCTATGTAAACAGTGTCGGTCTCAGATTTCACACAAAGCGATGACCTAGCTTTATCCCGCATCTCTTGTAAGTTTGTGGCCCAAATGTTCGGATACCCACTGCTAGTAGCTTGGCAAGGCCTGATAAGGGTACACTGGAAAGACAAGCAAACGTAATCGCTGGCGCCAAGAGGCGAGTCTTAAGTAGTGTCATTTACAAAGTCAAGCGACTTAGAAACAACAAGATATAAAACTGATGGCTGCTGTTTGCTAATGTACCTAGTGGAGAGTTCCACGAACTGGTGTAGTGGTACATGCGGCGTCAAGTCCAGCAGTTCTGCACCGAATGATCCCTGCGCCGAAATGCAAGATAGATCAGCCCAACAGACCACTGCGAGGTGGAAGTCACCCAGCACCACACATTTGTTCGCCGAGTGAGTGCATATAGACTCAATAATTCCATTGGAGTTGCTCATAGATCTTATTTCACTAACTTGACCCTAAGTTGAACCAAGGAGGCTCAATCCAAGACTGCGAGTGCCTCAACAGATTTGTCGAGAGAATGAAGAACGCTGGTCCTCAACACGTCGATGTGATAACTCACACAAAGAGCTACACCACCCCATTGATTGTCAATGAAGCGGATAACGCGAATCACTGTGTAGCCAGGCAGATATATTTTGCCATCTGTGTTTTCTTCTGACAGCCACGTTTCAGTGAAAGCAAGTACATCTGGACGGGATTGTCTACGAGCAGATCCACCTCGTACACCTTGTTCCTCCAGCTACGCACGTTACTATGTACTACTTGGAGGACTTCGGCATGACCATCCCTCGGTCGTGCGCAAGTAGTATAGTGTCCGGCTGGGCGGAAAAGGAAGTCCGGCTGACCATCTGAAAACCCACCAATCGGAGACCTTGCATGCCAGCTAGACGCCGGGTTTTTAGATCTCTGCTGGCTTCCTTTAAGTTTAACCTATCCGGTGGTACACTAACACTGGTACCTTTGGGCTTGAAGGCAAATCGCAGTAACGCTCTGGGTTTTTCTGGGGTGGAGAGAAACATCCTAAGCAGACGTGGGCGAGGATTTGGTTGACTTACCGGAACGTTCCCAACCTGATGAATTTCCTGACATTAACGCCAGGGAATCCTTGTGGTAAAAGCCTGTTCACGCAAACTTTAAGCCCAGCAGATCATCAAGCATGCGCTCGGTGAGAACAGCCGTGGTAGATTCAGTGAAGTTACTGAAAATACCACTGTTAGCTTTGTAAGAATCACCCCGATGAGGTGCATTCACTCCACATGCTCTATCATCCACGTCACACGGTTGTTTGATGGAGATTAGCGGGACCGAAGGCAAAGACACTTCATGCCTCCCTGAGGGAGTCGCAGCACCAGGTGGTGTTTCCAGCTAAAGCGTTTGCCTCTTGAGCGTTTTCTTATCTCCCGGTTTGGGGGCGGTGGGTATGCGCGCTTTCTCACTTACACTTCCTCTCTTCTGGCCCATGAGCACGAGATTTGCCTTCCACCTGGGGAGGGTTAACAATGCCGTCCGAGGCATGTGCATCAGTTATCTCCATGTGAACTGGAGCGTCTGGTAGGATGAACGCCAGCAGCGGATGGACTGTCAGCAGAGGGACAGTCCGTTACAGCGTCCACATTCGCAATGTTCTGGGATTTCATAATCAACTCCAATATAGAGATGAACAAAGCAAGGGAGGCAATCTCGGCTAACAACTACACAAACACTGTGAAACTGGATGCTAATGCTTTGAATTAATCACAGATGAAAGCCGGGAGCTTCGCTTTCTGAACGCAACAATCAGCACATTCAGACAAACAGTTTTCACTGGATGATAGCATATTTCACTGAGTCTCTCGGCGGCCGGTACAACTTTGTGATACTGACGGGAGCAAAAAGCACACTGCATACCGCCAGAGGAATTAGTTTCTCCATCGCTAAAGTGACGTGCTGAAAATTTGGTATACCTTAACGTCTTGTCCGCTTTATAAATATTTTTGTTTTATCAACTTTTATACTTGTACTTGCTCATATTTATGATCGAACTGGTTCACCTTCACGTCTCGGCCTTTCGAGAACTATACCAAAAATATTTATCTATAAATACAGTTCATTGTGTGGTGGAGAGCAGAAGAAAGGTTTCATGTCAACTCCTTTACTTCCCGATCTTCCAAGGATTGCAGACGTGTTAAATGTGGCGTAGTTAGGGAT